CACATCATGATACTCTAACTAAGGCCTTAAAAAATTGTAATATCCATATTCCTACTGTTAATAAAATTTTTGATTTTTGTGACTCTTGTTGTTTTGCAAAATCTCATAGAATTCCTTCTCAACCCTCAACTTCAGTTTATTCTAAACCACTTGAACTTGTCTTTCTAGATGTATGGGGACCGGCATCATTAGAATCTAGTTGTGGTTATATGTACTTCTTAACGTGTGTTGATGCATGTACTCGATATATGTGGATTTATCTTCTTCACAGAAAATCAGATGTATTTTCTCATTTTCTGAACTTTAAAGCTCTAGCAGAAAAACAATTTCAGACTTCTTTAAAATGAGTTCAAACTGATGGTGGTGGTGAATTTCGCCCTCTAACTTCCTTTCTACAATAGCATGGTATCATTCACAGATTTACCTGTCCGCATACTCATCATCAAAATGACATAGTTGAGAGGAGACACAGACATGTGGTTGAGCTTGGTTTAGCTATGATACATCATGCTTCATTACCATTAAGATTTTGGGATCATGCCTTCTTGACTGCCACCTATCTAATTAATAGGTTACCCTCTTCATCAATCGGTTATCAATCACCCTACAAGCTGATTCATCATAAGGATCGTGACTATAAATTTATGAAAATCTTTGGTTGTTCCTGTTTTCCACTGCTTAGGCCTTATAATCAACACAAATTCAGCCCAGATCAGAGTAGTGTATATTTTTGGGATACTCTCCTAGTCATAAAGGTTATAAGTCTAGAAGAATTTACATTAGCAATGATGTTGTTTTCAATGAAGGCAGGCTTCCCTACAATGATCTCTTCGCTACAAAATTAGACATCCCTACTCCTGCAACTTCGGTGTCTACAATTCCCTCTCTTGTTTGTTCTCACAATCCATCTTCATGTGTACCAGTTCAGCCTAAAAATTTCTCCAGCTCAGGATTATTAGAACTCAGCGCTCTCAATTCTGAATCTACTACTGCGTCTGCTGACACACTTGCTGATCCTTTAATTTCATCTCAGCCTCCAGTCTCTCAGCAACTATCTTCTGCTACAAATGTTCTCTCCTTTGACCCATTCCCTGCTAGACCACTCAATGTTCATCCCATGACTACTCGATCCAAAAATGGAATTATCAAACCAAGAATCAATCCTACACTCTTCCTAACTAAACCCGTCACAATCATGATTGTTCTTTCTCTCGCAGTCTTCTTTCACTGGCCTATTCACAGCTAGACATAAACAATGCATTCCTTAATGGAATGCTTGAGGAGGACATCTATATGTCTCAACCCCCTGGTTTTGAAAACCTGGAACCAAACACCTTGTTTGCAAATTGCAGAAAGCTCTTTATGGCCTAAAACAGGCCCCTCGTGCTTGGTTTGAAAGATTAACATCTGTCCTACTTATGCTTGGGTTTAGCAAAAGCAAATGTGATCCTAGTCTGTTCATTTTTTCTGATTCAACAGCCACAGTTTATATGCTTGTCTATGTGGATGTCATTATTCTCATTGGAAATTCTCCCTCCTTATTGCTACAATTAATTAATCAGCTCCATAAAAATTTTTCTCTTAAAGATCTTGGTACCTTAGACTATTTCTTGGGTATTGAAGTCAAATTTCTTTCTAAAGGGGGGTTGTTATTGTCTCAAGACAAGTATATTACCGATCTTCTTACTAGAGTAAAAATGGAAGACTCTAAGGGTATATCTACTCCTATGGTTGGTGGTCAGCAGCTTGCTAAGGAGGGTACATTGTATGATGATCCAACCTTATATAGGTCGGTTGTTGGTGCTTTGTAATATGCCACAATAATGCGGCCAGAGATTGCCTTTAGTGTCAATAAAGTGAGTTAGTTTATGTGTTCTCCAATGGAGGAGCATTGGAAAGTTGTTAAAAGGATACTTAGGTATCTTAAAGGAACTATTGGACATGGATTGATGTTCACACCTGCTTCTTCTACTACTGCCTTCAATCTTACTGCTTTTACTGATGCTGATTGGGCAGTGATCCTAATGATAGGAGATCTACTTCAGCAGCCTATATTTATTGTGGTCCTAACTTGGTGTCTTGGTGGTCCAAGAAGCAGCTGCTTGTTGCAAGGTCAAGTACTGAAGCTGAATATAAAGCCTTAGCTCAAGTTGTAACAGAGGTTTTGTGGATTCAATCCCTCCTAAAGGAATTGCAAATCAAATTTAATACTCCTATAGTGCTCTGTGATAATCAGAGCACAGTTGCTTTGTCTCACAATCCAGTTTTACACTCGAGATCCAAATATATGGAACTAGACATCTTTTTTGTTAGAGAAAAGGTGCTAAGTAAGGCTCTTGTTGTTTCACATATACCTGCTCAACATCAATATGCAGATGTTCTGACAAAGGCTCTGTCACCAAGGAGATTTCTGTTTCTATGGTCCAAGCTCAATATGATTAACCTATCTACTGTGTTTCATCCCCCTTGAGCTTGTGGGGGGTGTATTAGAGAATAGAATAATAAATACTTTTGTTATCAGTTGTATTGAGTTAGTTTTAGATAGTAAGTTTCTGTTAAGATTTGCCAGCTCATTATGTACAATTGTTATCTACTCTGTTGAGTCTTCTCTCTATATATGTAGCCTGTACCGCGTGGACATGTATGTCAGTTTTAATCAATAATATCTTTTCACTAAATTCTCCGAATTCTGTCTTTCTATAAGTGTAATTAAGGTATTATCTAAAATTTATTGAGGTGAATGTTAAATTTGCAAGCGGTTTTGTTAATCAATAAATAAAATATAGAAGAAATGTATTAAAATTAATGTATAATTTTTTTTAATAATTTTCTTTTCCCTAACTTTTTCATTTGATAAAGATGGTTTTGAATCATTACTTTAAATTGAAAATTGATACACAACTGCCTTGCAATCAAGGTTATTGATAATGGATAACGGTCAATGGAGGTGAGCAAAAAATCTTTAATAAAAATATGGCAGACGCCTTGGCAGACAAAAAAAACGAAATAATTTATGTATATATATATACACACACACACACACAAATAAACAACAAAAAAGTAAATTACAAGCAGCAAAAATAAATTAAAAACAACATAATATCAACTAAAATAGTTAAATATCATAAGAACAATACCATAAATCTATAATTCATTAAGTCTCAAACATAATTGAAATTGATTAAATTAAAACACAACAAAAAGAGTAGAAAGACAACAAGAGTGCAAGACACATTTGAGTGACCTAATAGTTGCAACCATGTCATGGAAGCTCTCCAATTTGATCATGTTAAAAGATAGTCCAACACTCCAACTTGATACCAAAATTGGGCTATATATTAGTGGACCCTTGTTGTCACAATTGTTATAATTGCCATGCGTGTTAGTGCTGCTCGTCGCAATGGCCATGGCACTCGTCATGACGGACAACGCCACAAATTGCCATATGGTAGATGGTGAATGGTGATGAAGGCCAACACTGCCCACCATTTGGTTATAATGACATTTAACCGTTATTTAACAACATTGCTTGTAATAGGTGTTGTTTTGAAATAAGTCTAATGCGATCTCTTGCTCTTCATCTCATTTGTCTCTTTTGCTTTTAATCTTCTTTGTCTCTTATTGAAACACTTGATAAATTCCAATTCCATTCTTTACACTCCCTTTCGCTATGGAGGTTTCTTCAATGACAGAGGTTGATGGTGGCAGTGTGACTTCAACATCCGGCTGATGCAATGGCAATTGGGTTGAAAATGGGAGAGAAGGTAGGGTTGTGCAACAAAAGGGAGTGTTTCTCAAATTGTAGGGTGGGAGCAAAGATTTTAGGGTTTCCTGCGATAGCGATTGCTGAGTGCAGTCTGCTCGTGACATTCAAATGCCACATGAGGGTGATATAGGAGCGACCACTTTAACTACTATTGGCAACTATGATATGGATAATTGATACAAATACAATTATGTTCATTTACTTCTAACCACTTGTGTGTCAAGTTTATCATATATACTTATGTAGTTAATCACATGTGACAGTCAATATCCTTATCACATTATTAAACACTTGTGATGCTAAGATAACTACTTGTGACCATTATTAAACATTTCAATTAACTGCTAGTGAGACAGTTAACCATATTTGCACATGTAGTTAACCACATGTGATGGTCTATAGCCTCATAACATTATTAAACACTACTGCGGCAAAGTTGATCATCATTAGCCATTATCATATCCTCATGACTTTATTAGCCACATGTTGATAACCACATCATTAATAGTATACAATCATGCTCATTTACTTTTAATCACATGAGATAAAACTAACCATATTTTTCAAGGTAGTAAAAATTGTGTCTCAGGATGCAGATAAAAGTAACCATATAGGGGCAGAGAATAGGGAACAAAATGAAAGGGTAGAGAAAAAATAACACTCTTCAGAGAACAGAGGGTGTTTTGTTTTATTTTCATCAGTTGACCTTTTTTTCTGCATTTTACTTGTATCATGTACAGTTGAGTTAGGCCTAAACTGATTTTCTTAATAAGGTATCAGATTAGTCATCTTCCACAATCCTCACAAGAAAGAGAGAGAGAGTGTGTGTTTATCTTATAAAGGTATGACATTTATTGTTTATTGACTATAAAAAATAAATTTTCTTAATTAATGTGGGACGCAATTTGTAGAGGGTCTTATAAAATTGTGCAAGCAAATTTCTCAAAAGGTTCCTATTTAAAGGGATTGTGGTAGTATGAGATTAGTTTCATGGAGTATGTTGTAGATAATATTTGAAATCAAGCTGTTGGAGTGCTAGAGAATTGAGAGGATTCTGTTCTTTGTTACTTTTTTGTTAGATTTGGTGCCTATAATTGCAATAATGGTTGTACATGAACATGGCTTCAATGTGCAACATAATGGGAGGAACTTCACCTTCTTTTTGCTGTTTTAAATTTCCCTTTTGGCCCTACCTCTGGCATTCAATATTTGTGAATATCTGACTGGCACTCAGGTACAAATTTGATGATGAGAGGGTGACAAAAGAAGACAATAAACGGGCATTAGAGGAGCAATATGGTGGTGAGGAAGAGGTAATCGTTTTATTGCCATTGACCATGCTATTTTTTTCCTTTTGAATATTTATCTGTTACTGATTGAATGTTGTGTTGTAACAGTTGCCACAGACAAATCCTGGATTCAATAACACTCCATTTAAGTTCACCAAATACTCAAATGCTTATATGCTGGTGTATATACGTGAAAGTGACAAGGATAAAATTATATGCAATGTGGACGAGAAAGACATTGCAGCACATTTAAGGGTAAGCATATATTCTTATATACATTTGGGGCTTCAGAAGATGTAACCCAAGTTGAATACAATGTCTTTCATGTGTGTCATTTGCTTTAATTCTTGAATCAAATTTAGATTGTTGTTTTAATTGAGAATAGGTCTGAGAAATCATGTTATAGCTCAGCTGTAGCAATCAACTTGATGACACTCATCAACTTTCCTGTTTTATCTTGTAATTTTTTTTTCTCCTTCTTGAACACTGAATTTGTTTTCTAATAAGAAGATTAGGCCTTATGAATGTATTGGGAAAAATTAACTAATTAAGTAAAGTTCAATTTGCTGCTGCCCTCTACTTTTCTTATTATTGTATTATTTCTGTTACTTTATTCTGGAATTCGGATATGAACTTTTGAGATGAATTAATGAAGGAGAGGTTGAAGAAAGAACAAGAAGAGAAAGAGCATAAAAAGAAAGAAAAGGCAGAAGCTCATCTTTATACTATTATAAAGGTTCTTAGTTCCTGACCTTGACTTCTTAAAGAATCAATTGAATATCGTTAGTCTTGCACTATATCTAGGTTGTAAATTAAACAATCAAATTATGTTTGTTATTTACTGATAGCATGATATTCCTAGGTGGCACAAGATAAAGACCTTAAAGAGCAAATTGGAAAGGATATATACTTTGATCTTGTAGATCACGACAAAGTGAGGAGTTTTCGGGTCCAAAAGCAGACAACTTTTAATGTTTTCAAGGTATCTTCTTCAGTCATGCTCTTTGCTTGGTGTTGTGGTATTGATACTACATATTTTTTCATTGAAGAAATCAGAGTGGAAGACACATTGTTTTAAAGACAAAAAGTGCCATAAAACATTCAGTTATGATCTTGAGAGAAATAATGTAAAGTAATCAAGTAGTTAGAACTATTGATGCTGCAGCCTGAAAATGAATAGAAAATAGGAACAAAATGAGTAACAAACTAATAATGTCTTGGCCTATATAATGTATCTTATAGTTGTACTTAGTCGGATCTGGAGAATCTTCTGTATCCTGTTGTAACAGACCTATATAATGTATTGCTTGCAGTACAAATCTTGGTTTCTGTATAAATATCTGTAACCTTATTATTTAAATTGAACTATTGAAATCAAATAGAAACTTTTGATTTCTCTTTTATTATGATTTCTCTGATTCTATTTCTTTTTCCCTTGGTGTGATGACAGTTAGTGACTCTCCTAGATGTCAAAGATTGGATTTCATCCTGGAGGGATTTCTGAATATTTAATAGGAACCGTTTTTTAAATAGAAAATATTTATGAATGACAATTGGAGAAGTTTGATGAACACATAATGTATTTTGAAGAGTGAAAAAATTGAATTGTACATGTTGAAACTTTAAATTTAGGTTGGTAGGGAGGAAAAGAGAAAGAAGCTATACAGTTATCTCATATATAATGATGTGATAGAAAAGAAAGTTCTAGACCCGATTACTGTGGAAATGGAATTATTTTTGTATCGAGCATCCCATGTTTGTGCTCTGGAAATATATTGATTTTGTTTAAATACTTGTATAATTTGGTTTTTATGCCTGTTTGCATATTCTGTAATTTACAGGAAGAGGTTGCAAAGGAGTTTGATATACCAGTTCAATTTCAGCGCTATTGGCTTTGGGCAAAGCGTCAAAACCATACCTATCGTCCTAACAGACCATTGACGCATAATGAGGAAGCACAATCTGTAAATTCTCATGCTTTGAGATTTTTCTATTTATTTTTTACTTTTTGCATTTAGTTATGTTTTTTTTATATTATAGCTATGTTTCATCTTTTGTCAGCCTGTTTATTATGCGATTGTGCTAGCTTACTATATGTTTATTCCATTTAGTGGGTTGGCTGTATGGTTAATTCCTTGTGGGTGACTTTGTTTTCATTTTCTCCCATCTTTTATTAACTGTTTTCTATTTCTTTAAAAAAAGCAAAACGTTCAAGAAGTATTATCCATATTAATACTTTTGGATCATGTGGTCCGTATTTCTTTTCTGGGTATGCTATGATGTTTGCGAGTATTGTCTGTGTTGGGGCTTAATTATGTGAAATGACATAATTTGGAGTTTTTCTCGGTCATCTTCACTGTATTGCAGGTTGGACAATTGAGAGAAGTGTCAAACAAGGTTCACAATGCAGAATTAAAGTTGTTTTTGGAAGTGGAGCTGGGGATGGTAACATTTGTATTATGAAAATTCAATACTAATTTAATAGCATGAAACTTTAATTTTCAATTGAAACAGTCTTGTTGAAAATCTGCATTGTTATTTAGGATTCACGTCCCATTGCACCACCTGACAAGACCAAGGATGATATATTACTTTTCTTCAAGCTATATGATCCTGAAAAAGAGGAGCTACGGTAATGAGTAATTTCTTTATTTTAACATTTATGTGAGATCTAGGTTGACTTGAGATTTACTTTGCTATAATGGCAGTTATGTTGGAAGGCTCTTTGTTAAGTGTACTGGCAAACCATCGGAATACTTAACAAGGTTAAATGAAATGGCTGGTTATGACCCTGATGAAGATATTGCACTTTATGAGGTTGGTTTGTATTGTTTCCTTTAAACAATTGTAACTTCAATTTGAAACAGCAGTTTTGAAGTCGTACATTTGAAATGGGAAAAAAATCTGTCTATAATTATTATTTCTTTTGGGGCTGAGGGGAAGTATCAGGTCAATTGTTAGTTGTTGAAACACCGTAATTTGCAGTGGGGATGGTAATGAAATGGGTGGTGTAACACATAGCCTTAAAAAAGTAGTTTGGGACTAACTTAACATTAGAAAATCGACTTGTAAGATGAGGGTTGTCCCCCACTTATATACTCTTTAATTACATTATTTCTAATTGAAGTGATCATGTGAGACTTGAGTTTTTCCTAATACACTCACTTACGTTGAGCACTATTGGGCTTGATACGTAGATAAATGGTGAGTGACCCTTTCTTAATGATCTAGGATAGGCAAGACATGTGTTTTTTCCCAATACATCTCCTCACGCCCAATACTATTAGACTTGGTGCGTGTATCAATGGTGGGACTTGGATTTTTCCAATACTTAGGTTACTTGAGGAAAAGTTGGTATTTAACTATGAAATTCTAGCATTTGGGCTTCATACCACCTAAATTATTGTTTCTGTCTTTTCTGTCTCTTCATTTACTAATTTAGCCATAAATCTCGTGGTTTATATAAAGATTAATTAATTATATGTAAAAGAGTTATCTGTTGACAAGTAACTGATGATAACTAGTTCCTTACTTTTTTAACTTGTGGGCATAGATTCAGTAATATGTTTTCAATTTTGTATTCTTTTTCAGTGTTTTAACCTCTAATTTACTGGGGAACTGTCAGAGACCAAGAAATAAAATTGGAAGATACTGTATTATAACTCAACCATGAGAAGATAGAGAGAGTAAGATCCTTTCTTAGTAAATTGGAGAAACCCACAGGTATGTGTTCATTGACATACTCTGGTAAGTTCCCATGTTCTTGTGGATTTAATGTCTCAAATACACCCTTTACCCATTATTGGATTCTAGACTCTGGAGCCACCGACCATATGACACCACTCCCTAAACACTTCTCCACATATTCCCCATGTCCCAGTAACAAGAAAATTTCCACAGCTGATGGAACCCTTATAACTACAGCTGGACAAGGAGATGTCCAAATAACCCCAACCATAATACTAAAAAATGTTCTTCATGTCCCTAAATTGTCCACAAATTTGATATATATCCAAAAACTTACAAAAGACCTCTTATGTAATGTGATATTTCATAGCAACTCTTGTATATTGCAGGACAAGAAATCGGGGAGGACAATTGGACATGCTAGAGAATGGAATGGCCTTTACTACATGTTCATTTGGCATGAATTTTCTTCCCATTTTGGGAAAGAATGATCATCCAATGATGACCTAGCTGCCACCTTCCCTAGGGCTTTGTGATGTCACCCACACTTATAAATACCCTAGGTAATGCTTCATGTAATCACTTTGGAAATCAAATATTGAGAGAGGCTTTTTGTGCCTTAATATTTTCCTTAGTCTCCTTGGCTATTTTCGGCCACCATCCTTCGATCTCCACCTTGAGAGAAACAACCCTAGAAATGGCCTTCATCACCATGAAGTGAGCCAACCCTAGAGTATCATTCTCAAGCAATTCCTTAAACACCTTCTACCCAGCCTCCAAATCCTTCCATTCCATCATCATCCTCCCTAAAACCTTGCGCCACCTTGAAGAAATTGATCCCTGGAGAAAAAGCATCCTTCTTTGTTCATCATCTCACATCCATGCAAGCAAGGATGCCATCATGTGGTATCTAGAGCCTTGGTTCTTCATGGGTAACGTTTTTTGTCTCTTAAATTCGGTCATGTCTAACTTGAGTCTTCTTGTTGTCTTCTAAGTTGTGTGTGATTGAGTCATCATCTTGCCATATGTCATGATTCATATTCCTCCTTTCATGTATTGATTCATGCCTCATCATTCTTATGAATCATCTTGGTGCTTTAGGGTTCCTACCATTTTCTCTTTAAATTTTAGTTGCTAGAAAATTTTGGGCTGCATGATATAATGATGTTTTTTATTTTATAATCCATATGATTTTGTCATAAGCTTGTCTTCTTTGAACTACCTTGAAAGAAATTCCAAGTTTTTATGTTTAGCCTTTGAAATGAACAAAAAATGACATGCATGCAACTTGTTTGATGAAATGGCCGTGAGTCTTTGATGTGCTTTAGAGAGTCAATCATGCATGCTAATTAGTTCTATCATGTTCTAAATTCCTAAAATATCATGTGTGATTAATTTCTTTGCACATACTTGCTTTAAAATTTTCAGCCACTTTGTGTATTCCTTGGTGCACTTGATATGTCTATGTATTGTTTGATGTTTTGAGTATGAAAATGACTTTTATGTGCAAATTCTTGTTGCTGGACATTGCACATTCAAAACCTTAAGAAAACACTCAAAACTTGTCTCTTTAAGCCATTGTAAGTTTCTAAAAGGATACTCCAAGGACTTGCTCATCAAACTAACAAGACACAAGTGTAAAACCCAAGCAAAGGAGAACTATAAAATAAAAATAAAAAAAGTGAAATGGCTAGACCTTTGGACCTCAAAACTGTGACCTAGTCAAGTATCAAAAGGAACAAAAGAAACAAAAATAGAAAAGAATCAAAGATAAAAGAAAAAGGGAACCTTTGCTAGACTTGTGGAGTTTGGACCAAATTTTTCATACCTTGGCACTTGGAGTTATTCTTGGACTTTTGGACAATGCTTATTGACCTTATGAGACATTTAATAAAACACCTTAAGTGCATTACTTTCTTTTAAGCCTATTTGTTGAATTCTATTCTAGTGTCATTCTAAGACTTATTCTCTTGTGTGCTTGCCTTTCTTAATGTGCCTTAATTTTATTTTTGAGTCTTCTTTCTACTCTTAAGTTTGTCTCATCAATTCCACTTGAGTTTAGCCTTTTTAATTGTGCCTTTTTAGTTTTTCTTCCTTGGCCTCTTGTACTCTTGGGATTTGGTTTCTTCTTGACCTAGGTAAGGAAAGCTTCAAAACACCATACACTTTCTTGGTGGATTGAGTGGAGGGGATGTCTGATTTGAGTTCAAGGAGCTTTGGTGGATCACACCAAATCAAAGAGTGCATATACACATTGAGAGGCTAACTTTTGGGTGTTCCTTGTGAAGGGGTGGAGAATTGAAGACTTGAAGACTTGGAAACTTTCTTTCCTACTTGTTTTCTTTTTGTTCAATTTTCGGCCTCTTGTGTTTTGACCTTTGTTTTCAATTGTTCTGGGATGTAATTGGCCATTTTTAAACCTCTTCATTTTGGGGTAACTCGAAGTAGTGCTTGTGGGAGTGGCTTGAATACCACCAAGGTCACTTCAAGCTCCCACCCTAGGGAATCCAACTAGCATATGCTTTAAGTTGCTTTCCTTTGCATGTTTTGTAGCTTTTATAGTATAATTGTTTAGGCTCTTTGTTCTCATTTGTTTCATTTAGAAGGCTATAATTTTCCTACTAGGGGGTCCATGCACATACACACTTAACTTTTGTGCAAAAATTGTTTTGTAAGAAAGGTATAAGGAGGCTTAGTGATTTTTACTTGAAAAGGCTTGGTTTTTAAGTGATTCCTTGTAGTCCACCTCCCTTGATAGTTCAATTTGTACACTTAGGCCTTCTAATACTAATCTTGCACCTTCAAAACTATTTGTGAAAACCTTTTATCACTCACTCTTTGTGAAAACCTTTTTGTGCCAATCTTTTGAACTCTATTTTTGAAAACTTTTCTTGATCAAAGATGAGTGATCATTCTAGTGTACATGGTCATAATTCTTGTAGTACTAGGTCTAGTGTTAGGTTAAAGCAATTGAACGAAAAGAACCAGATGAAAAATTTTCAAGAATTTCAGTTTTCAAATTTTAATACAATATCTTAATACACACTTTATTAGCAAACATGAAGTAATGGAAACACAAGAAACAACAGAGTAGACAGTACAGGCCCACCTTATTAACAATATCACGTCCAAAGCCACATGAAACTATTGCCACATCAACATCCCCAACATGAAATCTAATGTTGGTTTTAACCCTGAAGAAGAAAAATTCAAGTAATATAGGTGAAGAGAGCAACAAAGAAGAATTTAGATAACAATGACACAAATTCAAATTGAAAGAAAATAGTTGATATTTCAAATTAGGACACAATTAAGAATCTAACCTTTAGTGATCCATACCCAACCTTCAACTGGTACATTTAGATAGCTCATAGGACTGAACTTCATCTGCATTATACAATGAGGAAGAGGAACAAGATTTTCTTTCAAAGGATTGAAACGAAGCATCTCACATTCAAATTATGAATCTTTCAGTAGCATATGAAATATCTCATTCAAGCTGATAAACCATACAACAAGCAAGAAATGTTGTGATCAAAAACCCTGAATCATTCATCTAATTAAAACATACAACTAGAAAGTGCACAACATTTCTTATTGTCCAGCTTCTACTAATCTAAAAGAAACCCAGTCGCACGAGAATCCATAATAGTACTTCATGCTTTATTCAATAGCTTAATGAAATAGAACACAACAGAAGCAATAAAAAAAATATCCTGTTAATCTCTCACACACACAGACGCACAGACATGAACACAAATGTAAACTATAATGTAAGTGTTTCTCTAATCATCATCAAGTGTAACAGAGGATGCTGAATAAGCACCATCTAGTGAAGGGACAATATTTGCAACATAAAGAAAAATATTCAATTAGTAGCTAATCATGTTATATTAAGTAGATAATAAAATAATAAGGCAATTAAAAAAAATTATTACCTTGTTCAAATTTCTCAAACTCCACAAAATCCTCTATTTCATTCAATGACAATGGTGGAAGTGTCCATTTGAGCCAATCTTGCATGCAAAAAAGTGCTTCCACCATTTGTGGTGTAAGAGAACTACGATATGCATCAAGAACTCTTCCTCCGATACTAAAGGCAGATTCAGAGGCCATAGTAGAAATAGGTATAACAAGCAAATCTCTTGCCATGTTTGAAAGAATTGGAAATCGACCCGAATTTAGCTTTCACCAATTTAAAACATTCAAATCTCATTGACTCTCTTCTAAGGCTTCCTCTAAGTATTTACTTAATTCATATTTATGAGATCCAGTTGATTTGAAAAACTGGTTGTATCCATAAGGATCATCACTTGCTTCTTCATTGAGTCGAGCTTCCTGTGAGTTAGCTTCAAACTCAATTCTCCCACAATTATACTCTTCAAAAAGTAATCTTATACTTGATTCCACTTTGTCTTTCAAATTAGATGCCACAACACCATCAAACCTTTGATTAATCAACCAATGCATGAATTTTAACTTATATCTTGGATGCAACACAAGACATGTTTAGTCGATCAGGATTGCCCCAATATTTGTCATATTTCTTTTTCATGTTTTCAGTCATCATACTTATAATCACATCCTTGGAAGCACACATTTGCTTAATCTTTATTCCAATCCCGAAGGCCTCAAACATGTACATATTGCTAGTCACATAAGATGAACCAGAGATACGCATAGTAGCATCAGAAAATAACTTTAAAAATGGCAAGATACCACGCACAAACTCAAAATCACCAAATGTAGGAACACCCTTCCCTTTTTCTAACTCTTCAATGTATTTCTTATCTTGCATCTCAAGCTCTTCAAATGCCTTTTGATGTTTTAATGCAACCTTCGACATTAAGTATGTAGAATTCCACCTGGTTTCAACATTTAGGCAAACAAGCCCTTTAAATTCAATGTTTTGTTGCTCAACACATGCCTTGAATTTAGATAGCCTAGAATGGGAAGATCTTACATATTTGATAGCGACATGAATTCTCATAACAACATCAATATTTTCTTTGAATCCATCTTTCACAATTAAATTCAGAATATGTTCACAACAACACATGTGAACATAATCTCCCTCCATAACCAAACTGTTCCATGAAATTAGTCTCTTCTTGAGAAGATCGGAAGGAACGGTATTGGCATTAGTGCTTCACTGCTTCATAACAGATCGGTGCTTTATGTTCTATAAAAAATAAATTTGTTCCTGCATAAGTCCTGTTAAAAAGAGAGAAACAAATTTTTTCTGAATATGCCGAGTGGTAATTCCATCCAAGTCCAACAGAATGGATTTAATTATATTCAAGAGAACTACAAAGGTAATTAATGCCAAAACAATTTACAAGACAACAATTCCACTACTTACTATGATGCATTGAACCTAGCTATACGAAGTATCTAGGCACCTTGGAAAAATAAGCATGGTACTGTTGTAGGAGTTCCTATCTCCTTAAATATTCCTATTTCCAACAAATCGTATCAAAAAGAGGAGGACCTGAAGATGCATAGTCACTTCTGTATGATAGCTGGGTCAACTCGTAACCTGTCAGATTTGTAACAGTTGAGAATCATAATATAATAATCAGTGTTTATTGCGAAGCAGTTTATAGGCACATAATATCTTATTTAGAGGAAACAAAATGTCTCTGTTCTCTCTTATTTAAATGTATCGACATCGGAAATGAACGGATACTTCAAATGGTTTTAGTTACACTTCCAATTTTTATTGTAACTTATTATACCAATATTGATTGGAATACCACACCGATTAGATTCATTATGACATTTTACTATTTCTATATAATGACTTGCACTCTTTTTTAAACTAGAATTCTCTTGTAATTTAAAATTTTCCTTATCCCCTATCTGTGCAGTGTCCCATGTTGTATTATTGTATGTATGCTTCATATTCTTTATCTAACCTATGACTTTTTAATTGTGCATTAGTGAATTGACTGAGTTTGTATTTTTTGCAGGAAATTAAGTTTGAACCAAATGTCATGTGTGAACCTATTGACAAGAAAGTAACATTTCGAACAAGCCAGGTGAGTTATATCCATAATGATGCTCAAAGCAGGTGTTTGATTCAGGTTGAGAAAGAAAAAGAAAATATTCCGGGGGATCTTGGGAATGGTATTACTGGGAATAATGATTGCAATGTTTGGGTGACCAAAACATTCTGGGGACTGAATCTGATTGGCAGTATTGGTGGGAAGTGGCTGGGTTCCAGTGATCAGTCATCTGCTAATGTCAATTTCTGACAAAACAGAGGGTGCTAGCCTGGTAGGGTTTTGATGACCATGGCAGTGGCTTTGGATGGCCACTGCCAACTACCAAATATTGCAGACAGCGGTGGATTCTGGTGATTTGTGATGGGGGCAGCAGGTGCCTCCCACTGTCTGTCAGTAGTAGCAGCAAGGAGTTGCCAAGTTGTGGCAATTGGAGACTTCCCAAGGCGTTTACTTCTGGCAATGATATTAATATTATGTCAGTAGATTGATGACCAGGTGAAGTGTTTTTGGGCTTGTTGCTCATCACAAATATTCCCATGCCTTGAGAATAGAGTAAACCCACATCCCTCCATGGGAATGAAAAGCATGAGAATGTTTAGCAAAAATACTCCTGGAAATCAAGTTTGATTGGGATTTTTTAGTAATGTTTTGCCAAACATTGGAATCCATTATTCCATGTAAGGATTCCCACCGTTGAAAAACATTCGACATACCAAATGCCTAAATTGATTGAGTTCATGCATCTTATGTTGGTATATTGACTAGTATTCTATATTTGCAGCTGGAAGATGGAGATATCATATGCTTTCAGAAGGCTTCTTCTATGGATAGTGAGGAAAATGTCCGGTTTCCAGATGTGCCCTCATATTTAGAATATGTGCACAATCGTCAGGTACTTCCAATTTTTGGTTACTTGATATATTAGCAAAGTGTGAAGAAAATATTTCCTGTTTTGTTTTATTTCAAATGAGCATAGGTACATTTTGTAGAAGGCTGTAAGGAAAAAATGAAATAATAAATTGGATATACGCAAAATTAATTAGGAATCCCAAAATCATATGGGTGAATTAAAAAATAGAGTAATTGACTGCAATCTGGGGAATAGATATTTGTCATTCCCAGCTTGCCAACATTAGACTTAAAGTCAGATTTCAATTAGTCAGATTTCTTGAATTGGAATTGATAAATCTTAAAAGTAACCTATTTATCAAGATTAGTTCACAAACACCTTCAGCAATAACTTTATATGCTGCTTCTGCACTGCTCCTAGCCACAACAGTCTGTTTCTTGCTTTTCTAAGTCACCGCAATTCTCCATACCTTTGAACTATACCCTGTGGAGGACTTTGTGTCCTCAAAAGAACCTGCTCAATCAGTATCTGCATATCACCCAACACCTCGATGTTCACACTTTATAATAACTCCTTTCTAGGCGTGCCTTTTAGATAGCAGAGAATTTGATTTACAGCATCAAAGTGTCCCTTTCTTGGAGAATGGATGAACTGACTTTCTACACAAACACTATAGGCAATGTTAGGTCAAGTAAGAGATAAGTAAATCAGTTTACCTACCTGGCGTTGATGCCTGTCCTTTTATATATATATAATATGTATTAACATTAAGCATTGTAGATTAGATAGGTAGAGAAAACCTTATATAAGAGGCTGTGTATGCTTTAGAAAAGTCAAACTATTGGTATTGAATCTAGGTTGTTTGCACCAAGTTTTGAACATATAAATTAAATTCGGGGCCCTCTTAAAGATTTTGTCAGGACATCTGCAAGTTGGTCATTTGAACCGGTAAATTCAATGCAAGTTTATTTGCACAACAACTTCTTCCCATGTAAAATGGTAGTCGATTTTTATATGCTTAGTTCTGTCATGAAACTTGATTAAAGGCCGTATGAAGTGTTGCTTGGTTATTGTAATACAACTTTTTCTATCGGACTTTCCACAATTTTAGTTCTTGAAGTTGCTTGATCTGGACCAATTCAAAAGTGGCTAAAGCCATAATTGTCAATTTAGGCTTGACCAACCCGTAAATAAGGTCAGGGTTGGGCTTTAAAAAGGTGGCCTAAATAGAAACAGGCCATTTTGGCTGATCCGATAAAAAATTAAAATGAATAATTTAATAGTTAGTAATAGTAATTAATAAACAATAGAGTATTAGGGTGGAGTAAATGAGTAAGCCCCTGGTCAAGCAAAGACACAGGCCAAATTTGATAAGTCTTGAAATAAATATTGTAGAAATCTTGCATTTGGATGTGTTTTTGACCCTAAGGCAAAGTTGAATATCATAAGCATTTGTTATTGGAGGCTTTATTCATATGACTTTGAAGAGAAAGTGAATAGGATGAAAGAGGGTTTGTATAATGTCTTGGTGAATATGTAAAGCAAACGAGTACCAATGTTGTCAAAAAACGGTTATAATGCTGTGATAAAGGTATGGTGGAACAGGTTGTGTTCATTGCCATTCACCATCCGTTATTTGGCAATTTATTACGGCATCCGCCATGACCGTTGAACTATAAAGGTTTATGATGGTCATGGTGGGTATAACATTTTTTTTTATAAAAAAACCCAGTTTAGGGCTTCGACCTGTGCCCAAATACATAGAGTGCTTTTATTTTCTTTGTTCAAACACATTTCTCTGCAAAAGCAGTTGCTCCAAGTCACGGAAGCTGCTGCCCTAGGTTCCCTAAAGCTTCGTTAAAGTTCGACCACTACCCTCTGGCCACCTTCATCGCCGGCGACCTGGTGGACCCACACTTTAATGAGCAACTTCAGAAAATAACTCCAACAAATGCAGTGAAATTGTTTTTTTTTTTGCATTTTTTTTCTTCCTTCATCTTTTCTTCAACTGTGTTCATCTGTTGATGTTGAATTTTTCAGTGTTTTTATTTTCTTTTTCTCTTCTAATTCTTCCTTCAACAATTATTCATTTGTGTTCATATTTTTTTTCGTTCCTTTTTTTCTCTACGTTCTAAACCCTAAACCATATTTAGAGTTGTTAGAATAACTTGTTTAGAAAGCCTCTTCTTTTTTTAAATATTTACTGTATTTTTCTGATTGTACTCTCTCCTGATGTGATTGCTTAGGCTTTTAGACTCTTTAGCCTTTTTCTTGTAACCCTAATCACTATCACTCTTAATATAAGGAAAATGTACAGATCAGTGTGACTGATCCTTTTCTGCCAACCTATTTCAATATTCAAGTAGAGCTTCTGTTCTTCATCTTTTATTCTTTTTTCCCCTTCTTTTTCAGCCATTGGGTCTGGTTTGAGTTCCTATTTTTTCTAAGTTCTAACATTTGGTTCCTATTCTTTTGGTATTGCTGTTTTGATATTTAACTATTTAAGTAGCTATTTTGTTGTTTTTAATTTATTTTTGCTGTTTGTTATTTATATATATATATATATATATATATTTTTTTTTTTGTTTTTGTTTTTGATTATATATATATATATATTATCTTTTTTTGTTCGCCATGGTGTCCACCATATGTTTATAAAGGATTTTTGCCTCACTACTATAGACCGTTATCCGTTATTGATAACCTTGACGAGTGCATCAAGCTCATCTTTACCTAGTAATTCATCAAGAAGATAAGCAATACATGGGCCAGGTTGGGCCAAAAATATACCAGCCTAAACATAATTCTAGCCAGGCCAGGCTAGCCTAAAAGCGCACGTGGCTCATGCAGGTTTAGTCAAGCCAGGCTGACCAGTTTGACAACAATATCCATATCTCTATATTTTGCTTCTACATTAGAGTAGGCTACCACATTTTGGTTTTTTCTTTTCCAAGAGATACTATTTCCTCCAACAAATATACATTATCCAATAGTAGAGTGCCTATTAATAGGTGAACTTGCCTAGTCAACATCACATTATCAAAAAATTTGGGTATTTCCTCTATCCTTATACAATAGCCCTTGTTTTGGAGCCTTTATGATGTATCTAAGAATATGAATATGAATATGAATTACAATATTCCAATGATCAACATGAGGAGCTTGCATGAATTGACTAATAATCTATATTGTTAAGGAAATGTTGGGCCTAGTGATGATTAGATAAACGGGAAACTAGTCTACTGAATCTCTCTAGATCTGAGAAAACTTCACCTTCATTTGCCATTAACTTCTAATTTAGATCCACGAGACTATTAACAAGTCTACATATAATAATGTTTGTTTCTGTTGGATAGGAATCCCAAAATTTATGGGATATTATTATGTTGCAGAATTTCAGGGATTAATTTATGGGATATTATTATGTTACAGAATTTCAGGGATTAGGATCTACAATTTATTCTTTATTGCTGTTACTGATTTATAGGGATTCCTATTTAATTATAGGAATTTTCTATTATTTGTTTCCTTTTTTATTTCCCTGTTTTACCTATTTATGTACTAGACCAATCATTTGAATAAAATAAGGAGAATGATTTCTTCTGCTTCCGATAATATGGTATCAAGAGCCAACTATTCTTAATCTTAGATGAAAACTCAATACAATTTCATGGCTGATGCACCACCCACACAACCATCCACACCAGAAAATATTTTGCCTTCAAACAGAAACCTAAACAACCCAGCCCATATGGCTTCATCCTTCCAACCTATTGACCTAAACTCCTCAATTCAAATACCCCAACACAAATTAAATGGGTTAACCTTCCGAGAATGGTACCAGTCGGTCCTTCTTGTCATCAAAGGGAAAGGAAAAATGGGCTATCTTACAGGGACTTCTGCAGCTCCACCAATGATTGATCTTTCCTACAATAACTGGGATGTTGAGAACTCCATTGTCATGGCTTGGTTGATAAACTCAATGGAACTTAAAATTGGCAGAACTTACCTTTTCTGCAAAACTGCCCATGAAATATGGACCACTGTTCAGGAGATGTACTCAGACCTCCAAAACTCTGCCCAATGCTTTGAAATAAGGTCAGCTTTGCGTAATACTCAACAAGGTAACAAATCTGTAACCGAGTATTTTAATATGTTGGTAGAGTTATGGCAAGAAATGGACTTGTTCTATACTGTTTCATGGAAATGTTCTGAGGATAAATTGTTGTATGACCAAATGCTGGAAAAAGAAAGGGTATTTGATTTTCTTCAGGGACTTACAAAAGAATTAGATGAAGTTAGGGGACGGATCCTTGGCCTCAAACCACTACCAACTCTCAAGGAAGCCTTTGCCATGGTTAGAAGAGAAGAAAGTAGGAGGAAAGTGATGTTGCAAAACAATCCTACAATTGAGGATCCTCATCTAAACTCAGCTCTTGTGTCTCGGAAAAATGATCTAAAGACTATCCGTCCTAAAGAGGCCAAGACATGGTGTGATCATTGCCAAAAACCTTACCACACCAAGGAGACATGCTGGCTCATTCATGGAAAACCTGCAGATTGGAAACCTAGAAGTCAGCGCAAAGTTGTTGCCTCTGTTAATGTTGTTGAATCTTTTGCAGATGTAGGGAAGCAATGTTCAACTATTTTTTCTGATGAGCAAATGGATATGCTAAAGAACCTACTCTCTCAACTCAAACCTGAAGCTTCTGCACCAACGAACTCTACAACAAACATTGCTCACAAAGGTAATGGTCAGTTTTCTTTCTTGTCTAGACAAGAAAATACAGGAGAATGGATCCTAGATTCCGGAGCTACTGACCATATGACAGGGTCATTTGTTGACTTTATGTCATACAAGAAAGTTGATAAATGTGTCACTATTACAGTAGTTGACGATAATTCATCAATGGTAACTGGTAACTGGTACTGGTAACTTAAACTTGTCAGGAATAAAACTAAAATTTGTCCTTAATGTTCCTGAATTAAAATACAGTCTCATATCTGCCAGTAAATTGACTACAGATCTAAATTGTGCAATA